GAGGGAGAGAGAGGGAGAGAGAGGAGAGAGAGAAAGAGAGAGAGAGAGAGAGACATATATGTATAAACGCAGAGGTCGAAATCGTAAAGTTTCCTGTTGTCTGTCCTCCCTTCTCCTGACACATTGCCACTACATCTAAAGTCAGCCTTATGATTCAAACAAGGCTGGAGAGTGCATATTGACTTTCTATTTGCCCATATTTGCTGATGTTCTCCTCCTGAACCCAGGATCCGAAACTTCCGTGCTAGAATCCAAGCTTATCCTGTTGAGTGAGGCTGAACAAAGCTGGACCTCTTCTAGGCCATCGCACAAGGGCCTAAGAACTTGTTCGGCTTTAAGACTTGAAGAGTTCGGGTTAATTACTTTGCTTGAAGGTTGAGGTAAGCTGTGCATTCCCTCCAGGCGACGACCGCGCTCAAGCCAATCTGGCAATCCCCCCCCCCATATACCCCATATTCTATACCCTATATAACCCACTATAGTAGTTTCCATTTTCTTTTCCATTATCCCAAAGCTCATACATGTGGGAAAAAATCAGATGCACACCAAGTCGTGCAGCAGCGTGGCTGCATCTGAAACGAAGCCACACTTAAAACAAAGGATACGCAACATGTGGGCATGGCCAGCGATTTAATTCTGCAGTCTAGGGTGCAGCTGGATGGGCGAAGGCCTTCTGCAGAAATGCATCCATGAGGTCCCGCCACTTGCCTGTGTTTAGTGTTTCCAAAGCAAGGTTTCTTTTTCGTGGTCCATGGCATCATGCAGCCATATCATTTAGGGAGGTCGAAAGAGAACCTTCTGCAACAGGCCTTGTGGCCCAGGACCAGGGGTCTTCCCAAAATTGGGGGTATCCTTCTTGGGGGTCCCTATATTCAGGACTATAGTAGTTTGGGGTCTATGTTGGGTCCCCCTATTTTGAGAAACTACCATTGAAAGCAGGCTGACAGGCTGATGCGTGATTACATTTGGCGATCTGAATTAAACTAGCATTGTTTTGACTAGCATTTAAAACTTAGGCATTGCTGAATGCCCAGAAGTGTGGGGGTCTCCAATTCAGAAAACTTTTTCCGTCTATTCAGACCACCGCATGCGTTTTCGGAGGGGTCCGATTGAAGAAAGTTTCTTGTCCATGGAATGTGTCAAGAAGGTGACGATCAGGCTGGAAAGTTGTGTTTTTTAAGTGCCAAGCCCTCAAATCTCAAGGCCAGACTCGCTTCCTTCAAGATCCTGAGGCTTTGGATTCTGGAATCTGAGGCCCAGAGAACCAGCGATTTCTTATAAGCTGCTCGATTATTATGTCACTCCAAGCAACCGAGTTGCAAAGGGGGTAACCCAAAATGATTACCACTTTGAGGCTGCTCGGGAGATTGTCTGGGCAGGTCCGTGATGAGGGCAGCAAGGCTTTAACGGCAAGGCCTTTAAGCATCAAGGCCAAAACCTGTAACCGAGGACTAAGCGCGACGTATTCATCTACGAAGCTAGGCCAGGCTAAGCTAGCCTACTGGAGTACGTTTCCTTCTCAGTCTGTGGGTCACCGCCAATCCTAATCCCCACCCTTCCCAAGCCCGCCGCACCTGCCAACGTGTTTTGGGGGCTTTGCATTATAGATCTCTCGAGTCATCTTCTGCGTAGGTTCGCCGCAAACTCACACAACATTCAACGAATGTCACTGGAAAAGTCCCCTAAGCCTTAGGCCCTAAGCCTCTGAACCCCTTGCGGCCTGGCGCTCGTAGAAGCAACATCATCTGGCGGAAGGCCCCGAGGAAGTGACGAACGCCCTTCCAAGGACACGCAAATGGACTACGATGAGAACTCAAGAAAAGAAGTAACATGGCCGACGTTGGCTTGGGTTTGTGCTGGAATTGGGGCCTTGTTTATTCAGTAAACGATTGGTACCCTTTGCAGAATGACTCCAAGAAAACGGCTAGCTTTAGAACATGCCCGAAACAGGCGCACGCAGAACTGAGACTTACTGCAATACATGAGGGCGCTGCTGCCAACCGTGTCTCGGCATTCTTGGCTGGTTATGAAAGCTCAAACGACTTTGTCAAAGAGAGTGCTGTGGTCAATGAACAACCCCATCCTCTCAGTGAGACAAAATCCCACATCTTCAGGCTCTCAGGTCGCGCGGCCTTCAAGGACAAGCAAAGAACAAGAGCAAAGCACGCCCTGAAAAACATAGCAGTCCCTCCTGCCGCCTGCCACTGCACCTTGCCATCCTTGTCTTTGGGTGTGTTGTGCCAGAAGAAGTGGAGTTCCTCAAGGGCCATCTGCGTGCATCCACCCAGCCTACATCGTTAACAAGGAGACAAAAGCCATAGGACATGTCCATCACGTCGAAGACCTGTTCACACTGATGAGATGACGTCGACACGGTAATTAACAGCATTCACTCTAGTCTCCGGCATCATCTGTCCAAACTCCCCGTCCAAACACACGAGAGCCAACCGCATTAGGCCCGGCTCGTGCTTTTGGGACTACGGTGTGTTTGGAGGTAGGGAATGGAGGAATGGATCCAATACTAGCCCCTACGCGTATATGCCCCCAGCAATGCAACAGTTTGCATGCTCTTTTCAATTCACCCTAAAGCCTAAACCCTAAACCTCCGTCCCATTTATTAACAACCAGTAAGACAACCCCAAGCTCAGACCATCATCCGCAGTTTTCATGTGTTCTCCATGTGCTCTTCCATTGGATTTTCCATGTCTATATATGATCCCTGTATACCCATTAATACCTGGAGGGCCAGGGGGACTTATTAGGTAGGTTAATAAATGGAATAACTGGGGTTACTATATGACTATATGGGTTGTAGGGGTGATTAACCTACTTACTAAGTCGTCCCGCCCGACCTCCAACCCCTAAACCCTAAATAGTAGTTTCCATCTTATCTTCCATTATCCCTATATAACCCGTATGCCCATTAGCATGACAACCTGTAGGAGGGTCCTCATCCGAGTACTCCGAGTTCGGCCGTTCCATGGGATTCTCTGCGCGGGCTACCGCGCAAAAGCCCTGTAGTCTGGAGCGGGGGTGGCGGTTGGAGGTTTAGGGTCGTAGGGTAGTGGAGGGTGATATAGAACTATATGAGTTGTAGTCTAAACTCCGAGTATCCCCCCTAATAACCACTACAGGAATCCCCTATTGTATTAACGTATGCAATCCCCTGCAAGGAGTTGAGACTATAGCCATATAGTACTTAAATGCGATTTCAGTTTTAGGGCGTCTGGGTCCACAGGGATGCTTCGGCTATAGTGTGGTAGGGTGCGAATGCGGCATGGGCTTAAGCTGATTCAGATGGCTGTAGAAGTGAAGCCTGTTTGCTTTTGGTTTGCCTTTACTTCTGGGATCCTGACTGAGCTAGTCAAGTCAGAAGTCAGAACATTACAGGAACAAACGCAATTACAGGAACAAACGCAAAAGGCCCATGCTGTCAGAATTTCCGCCGAAACGCGCCAAAGGGTTCAAGAGAACGGTCTGACAGGCTTCAGCAACAAGATCGCAAAGAAAGGTGGGGATGCTCAAAGGGTTCCCGCGGACCCCAAGGCCTCGAGGTCCACTGGGCGGCCATAGTTAATGTTCCGATCTTCGTAGGTGTAGGCCTTTGTCTCCTTGTACAAGTCCTGAAGTCGCATGCATGGTTCTGTGGGCATCTTCTCGTGAACCACAAATGTCAATACCTAGTTTCAAACATGTTCCAAATTCAAAGCCAAGCGTCCACTGCCAAGCCAACGTAGCCAACCTTCGCCAGGTAGCATGCCTGGTCAATGTCAAACTGCTTCAATCCTGCGTAGTTGTGGTGAACGAGGATGACTGGAGCTGGCGCACTTCCATGCAGGTAAGCGATGCGCCCGTAGATGTACTTGTAGCCATCGAAGGAAATCGGAAACTCTTCCACTATCAGGTCACCCTTTTTCGCGACAGACTTGTCGACAGGCTTGAAGCAGTCCAGCGTGCGATACCGTGTCCCCGAAGGCCGATCCTGGCCACACATGGCAGCCGCCTATCAAGTAGCAAAGGGAGCCGGGAAGGCAGCCTTGTGTTGGCGTGGTGAGTGGCCTGTCCTATGCTCAGCTGTACCTAGATCACATGCTCCGCATGCTGCAACATGAGCTTAAGCCAAGATGCTGCAAAGCAAAGCCTCTTGCTGTTCACCATGCGTTCTTCCACCTTCCCAACCCTTACCGCGCCTTTGTACCCGCTTGCAGCTACATTCGAGGAAAGCCGTGGTGGCGGCAGTTTGGCTTGACTAGTTTGTCTATTATGGTCCGCACAATGATTGTTGGGAATGGTGGTCCTAGTTACAAAAACAGTCATGCAAACTTCTCTTCCAAAATCCCCACCTTCTCTCCCAAAATCCCCGGGCAACGGAGTCTACACATCACCCAAGGAACGCGTGCCATAGCTGGACATTCTGCAACAAGTGCAAGCCCAACGCTGCTTTGTTAAGATTGCAGAGTCTGACATCGCTGGAGCTTGCAGGCTGCTTGGCCATGATCCCAAATACGAAACCCTTCAGACATTTGAGCTAGCGGAACTATTAAGCTTCAACTTTCTTCACAGCTTGCAGGCTACTGTAAACCGCCTTGGTTGCATCATGCAGTGATTCCTGAGGCTCAAGCGAAGCTGCCGCAGTGCACGTCGCAAACGGGCGACGTAGCCTGCAGCTGCACAGGGCAAGCATGAATTCCCTCATGCGCAGCTGCATGCAGCTGAGATGTCAGGGAGCTGAGTTCTACCTTACCTCAGCTCTTCCGCACTGGCCTCTATGAACTGACTGCCTGGGAGCACTCTACACTCAATTTAGCAATGCGCAACACCCGCGGCGGCGTCGTCCGTTTCTAGTGTCCAGTAAGGTCAAGATGCTCTTGTTGAGTGGTGCTCAGGCGTGCCTTCTCATCATCTTCCGGTCAAATCTGCTAACCAATTTGCGTGCTAGCAAGCTGCTAGCAGAAAGCTCCGATCCAAGTCTCAGAAACCTGTGCAAGGGCCAAGGGTAGTGCCCGCAGGTTCGCCTCTGGCACTGCCAGACAGCCATGGGGTCTGCTGCAAAACCAAAGAACTCTTTCAGCGGCCTCGCTGCGTGAGGTGCGGTGCCTCTGTACGCAGGCAGAAGTACCAAAATAGCCGAGGTCCGGGAGCCCATCGGCATCACATTTGACGTATCCGATGGATGGAAACTGAAGCCGGCTGAGGTGATGACTCAGGTGTAGGGCCTGCTGACAGCTCCGGACCAGAAAAGTAGATCTGGATCAGGTCCGGTCTGTCAACCCAGCAACAATTGGGCCAACAGTGCCGGTCTTCATGTCAACCTGGCACCAACCGCCGTGCTGGCCTTTGAGCGCCAGAATTCCTATATGCTTTTCAACAGCATTCCGCTTCGGTCCTGCGGTTCACATGGTACTCCTCCTCCGATACCGTTAGACCCTAAGCCACACAATGCCCTACTGCACTTTGCACGACATCGTCTATTCGAGGGACTTTGCGAGAAGGGCATGGAGCACTGCGCAAACCGAGGGTTGAGCTCCTTGTTGTGCACAACCGCATATTTCAGAGCCCGGTGGGCAGCAACAACCAAATTCTGCGTAATCCTCATTCTTGCCGCGGAGTAGAACATGAGCTACATCCACGATACATGGATAAACGTATGCGTTTTCCTCAGCCATGCTGTGATGGCAAAGGGCGGTGACGAAAGCCGAAGCTGGGGCCCAAACTTTAGCCAGGTAGGGGTTCTCTGGGTCCCTTCGCTCCCAGAAGCTTCCTTCCTTGTTTCGGGTGCACAGGGACCCTGATTCTGATAAACTCCCAAGTGCTGTCCTACTAGCAACCCCCCTGGCCAAGTCAAGGGTCTAGTGTCTGCCAACTCTCGCGGAATGTCAGGGAGAGTAACAATGCGGTAAACAAAAAGATTGAAAGCAACTGTCCGGACTGTCCGTCTGCATCAAGACAAGCCCATCCACGCCGTGCTCAGTGCATCCATACAATACTAACCTGTCAGAATGATGGGATATGATGGGGAAGAAGTGCTTCCGGAAGTCCAGTTGCTGGAGGGGGCCTTTCCAAATTGAATGGTACTAGCAGCTGCGCATGTACACAAATGACGGTTGTGTGAGTTCTGTGTTCTGTTCATTGGAAAACCATTGAAATTCTAAACACCTGCTCACTGAAAGCACGATGTGAACAAACTGATTTCCTGNNCCCCCCCCCCCCCCGGCCCTCCCTCGCGGTCCCCTGCAGCGCAAGCCTGTACGCGGCCGAAACAGCTGCAGAAGCTCCTTCCAATCTTGCAGGGTTCCAGGACAAATTCATTGACAAAGCCTTGCTTATGCAATTATGATTTGTGCAGCGAAACTTGGAATCTCATGGTTTGCTTTTACATCTTGTGTCTTGCCGTCCTCGTCCTCACTGGGCGTCAGATCACAAAGCAGCTCCACGTCTTTGTAGCCTAGGCTCAAGAGCTTCAAGGCGAAGAACATATCGTAATAAGGCATGAGGAACAGACTCCGCCTTTCAAACTCGCCTCCAAACTGAATGCCAATGCTCCAAACTTTGTCTTAGCCCAGGGCCATGCCAAGCCAAAGAATTGCTGAGGGATGTAAGGCTGTGAGCCTAGCGCAAGGCTTCAGTAAGAGTCTCCGAACAGCCAGGGTTGTCTAGGGTTTATACTGCTATCATGGAAAACTTCATGGCAAAGATGAAACTTGAAATGGAAATTGGGATTGTATGGGGTGTGATAGGGAAATATAAGGGTCAGATGTAGTGGTTATATAGGGATATATAGGATAAGAAATGGAAGCTGCTATATCATTGGTATTCTTGGGATTATATCATAAAGTTCAGGATTTAGACATTGCTTATAACTCAACTCCTCGCAACAGCTTCTGCAGGACTGTTCCCTTGAACCCTGAACCCTAAGCCCTCAACCCTCACACCCCCAGCCCTAAACCTTAAGCCCTAAATCATCCTAAATCCTCAGCCCCACACCCTAGACCCTGTAAGCCCTAAACACTGTAAGCCCTATACATTAGGAGGACCCCCCACCCTGTACTAGTGGTATAATAAAAAATGTAAGAGGACCCTAATATGATCCCTATTAGCCCTTATAATAACTATTACTGGGTGGGGGGTCCA